GGTGGCCGGAGTGACCGTGGGCATCGTGCACGTGCCCCAGGGTGAGAGGTCCCAACCCCAGCCTGTTGGGGGCCGGCGCTCTAGAGGGCTTCAGGGAGGAGGCGCGGGGAGCTGGGGTCCGGGAGCAGGTGGTGGGTTAGTGTCACCGAGGGATGTGGGAGAGGGATCGGAGGTCCAGTTTGGGGGGAGGTCTGTGGAGCGCCACCAGCTCCCCACCCCCACCTGCCCTCCTCTGCGCAGTCCGGCCAGAAGCCTTGGTCGGGTTCCGGCTCAGGGAACTGGAGAGAGGCATGACGCCTGGCCCCAGGACCGGCAGACACTGATCCGTGACCTTGTCCACCCCACGACCTCCCACCGAGGCCCATTAACCCCTCAGCTCCCCCATGTGGCATGATTTAGTGTCCAGCCTCCAAGAGTGTGGGAGGGGGCTGGTCGGGGGGGTGGGCAACGTCCCCACCCCCACCTTTCCTTCCACTCCTCTGCAGCTATGGCTTTTGCCCTCCTGGCCTCCGTGCCCCCAGTGTTTGGGCTCTACACCTCCTTCCTTCCCGTCCTCATCTACAGCTTGCTGGGTACTGGGAGACACCTGTCCACAGGTAAGTGACTGGGGCTTCCAGTGACACCCTCTTCCCTGGGGGGAGCATGGACAGGGGCCATACCTCCCACTCCCTCTTGTTCGCTCCACCTTCCTCTCCCTCCTTGCCCGACCCTGCCACCAAACTCTGACCTAGGCCATGCTGCTGGAGTGGGTGCCAAGAGGTGGGAGCTTACTTGAACCCTGTCCCGGAAATTTGGTAAAAATGAACATTTGAGGAATTGGAACCGGGAGCAGAGACGCAAGGTCCCCCAGAGGAGCAAGCAGGGTCTGCAGGAGCGTCGCCCCTCCCTCCTCCTCCCGCACGGTTCCTGGCTGTTGCACCGGCTGGTACCCTACAGCCTTAGGAGGGCGGGTCTCGCAGCATCGCGGCCCCAGAGCGCGGAACCTGGGCTGCTGCCCTGCGCGGGGCCGCACAGCTGATCTGCTCGTCTGTCCCGGCCCCCCAGGAACTTTCGCCGTGCTCAGCCTCATGACCGGCTCGGCCGTCGAGCGGCTGGTGCCAGAACCCCTCGCGGGGAACCTCAGCGCAGTCGAGAGGGAGCAGTTGGACGCCCAGCGCGTGGGGACGGCCGCGGCCTTAGCCTTCGGGAGCGGGGCGCTGATGGTGAGGCCCGGGGGATCCCCATGGGGGGCGCGGGGAAACGGGGCGGGAGAGGGGAGGGGTCTGC